CCCGCAGCACCTCAGTACTGCCTCCTTGGGATCACGCTTCACAGATGTGGACCTGGACCAGAGCGAGGCCTTGGAGCAGGAGTTTGCTGCTGAAGGGAGGTCACGCACCCAGGGGCTTCAGGATGGCAGAGATGGGAAAGAAGGGCGGTAATTCCAGAAGCTTCCGAGCTGTTGAGCTTGGCGAGCTGCTCTGAAGGGGGAGACTGCATCCGGATAAAACCAGTGGGCTTCCCTCCATGTGGAATCCTGCACCAGCTCCCTGAGAAAAAGCGCTGAATTCTTCATGTGGAATAGGGCCCCTTCCCAAAGATCACTGACTTCTTTCCATGGATCCTGTCCTTTCTGGTATCTGGCATCCTCTTCTTTGATCTGTCAGTGATCTTGTCAGCCTAGGCAGATGCCAGACTTGCTCTTTCCCCCTTCTAGTTTCAGCTTTACGCTTTGCACTCTGGCACCTCCCTGCTTTCCGGTGCACTCACCTCCCACTGCTGCAAGATTCTTCTCCTGCTAGGCCTCCCTGCCTGGCCGAGATCCACGGTCTGTCGTGATACCACGATGATCTCTCCCTGGACTGCTCTCGCTGTTCGCTGTAGGTGCACATAAATCACAATGCTGTCAGAACAAGCAACTATATTTTTTTGGAGGAAAACACAAATAGCTAGTTACACTTTAAATTCATTACCATTGCTTCTGCCAGGCATGGTGCCGTGTGCCTGTAATCCCAGTGCTCCGGAGGCTGGGCAGGAGGATCACCATGAATTTGAGGCCAGCCTGGGCTACATAGTGGGTTCAAGACCAGCCTGAACTGCATAGTGAGACCTTGTCTCACAACAAAAAAACCGTCATCGTTACTTTCACGTCTTAGTACTTCTCCAGTAATTTACTGTTCTAGTCTCTTATTCTTACACCTCTCAATGTGACAGTTTCTCACATTCCTCTCCTTACTTTTTTTCTCCTAGTTGATGACTTTGCTTCCCTGTGCACTGGGAAAAGAGCAGTCAGAGGACCCCTTCATAGACTGGCCATGTGCGTGGCCAGCAGCCCTGCTTTCCGTCTTCCCGGTGATGAACCATCTTGTGCTTTCCAAATCCAATCCCTCCTCTCCTGTACTGTGTCTGCTTCCTGCTACTCACAGATTTTGCTCCCGTACTTGTCTGACCTTCTAGTGCCAGTAATAGTTTTCTCTTCTCTGCATCGCTGTCACCAGCATACAAGCATTGTGAGATTTCTCTCCTCTTTAAGAAAAAATAAATTTGTTTTCTTTCCTACTTTACTCAGTTCCTCCTTAAACTCCTTTGTTAGTCTTTTACATGCCCTTGGCCTCTTAGTGGTCTCTGATCTCAGTCCTTGAGCCCCACTGTATTTCTCTCTAGTGTACTTTTTTTTTGGTAGGGGGATTGAACTGGGGTCCTTATGTTTGAGGGGCAGGCGGTGGCACCACCGTGCTAAGTTGCCAGCCCTCTCTACTGTATTTCACTCCCCTGGTTTCTCCTATCTCGTAACGCTCATGCCATCTTGGTGATCACCGAGTCTGTGTCTGCAGCCGACGCCTCTCCCCTGCCCAGGCGACATCTCTTCTCAAGTATCTAACACACATTTGTTTTATATGTGGGTGGTGGCGGGGACAGTGGTGCCAGTGATTTGGGGAATTGAGCACAGGGCCCAAGGGTCCTAGGCAAGTGCTCTCTCCCCTGGGCTGCACTCCTGCCCTCTGACCGGCATCTCACGAGCAAGCTGTGGACAGCCTGAGTCCGGAACCTGAATTCCAGTCTGCTTCTCCCTGTCTTCTTGACCCCAGTGAAAGAGAGTTGTACCTGCCAGAGAGTTGTACCTGCCAGTTACTCCGAGCACAAGCTGTGCGTCACCCTCGACTTCTGTCTTGCAGTCAGACCCACCTCCTCCTACTGTTCTGCTTTGGTCCCAGGTGACTTCTCTCACCTGGGCCATGGCAGTAGCTTCTTCTGGGACTCCTGGCTCTGTCCAAGTTCTCCTTTCTTATGCCGTTGAAAGAGTGGCCGTTTAAAAATGAAAGTCCTCTTCCAATTTCTCTGGCCGCAGCGGCCTTCCGGTGCTCTGCAGACCTGTCAGTCGTGTTTGCACCTCATGTGTTTGCCTTCTGCTCCTCTGCTTGTAGCTAGCTTCCTCCAGATATTTGTGTAGCCATATCCTTTTGATTTGGCTCGCTTCCTTTAGCTCTTTCTCAAATGTCTTTTTTCTTTTTTGGTACTGGGGATTGAACTCGGGTCCTTGCGCTTGCAAGGCAGGCCACCGAATCGCTGAGCTAAATCCCCGGCCCTCAAATGTCTTTTTTCTAGTAAGACTTTTTTCCTGTCCTCCTTCACTTACACTTACTGTCTTGTTTTATTTTTTCTCTAGTTATCAGAATCTGACTTACCGTATATTTAACTTACTTTTTCATTCGTATCAAGTTCCACAGAGGCAAAGATTTATCTCTTGTTCATTTTAAATCCCCAGTGCCTATTAAATAATAAGTATCAACTAATTTTTAAAATTATTCTCTTGGTACTGGGGATTGAACTCGGGTCCTCGCACTTGCAAGGCAGGCCGCAGCCCCACTGAGCTGACCCTCAGTCCCTAACATGTACTGAATGGATGGATAAATGGTCAAGAGCTTTTAGTGCCCTCTCCACTCCCGCCTCCTGCCTTGAGCTTCGTCTTTCCAGGTTTATTGTCTGCTATCCCGGCTGGTTTGCTGCGTTCTAGATGCTCATCTTTTTTTCCTTTCAGTTGTATTTGTAAAAATCTTATTTGTTTACCTATTTGGCTATTTGGTTTGGTTGTTTACTTACTTGGTTGATTGAGGTGCTAGAGATTAACCTAGGTTCCTCCCTCTGAGCTATATTCTCAGCCCTTTTGATTTTGTATTTTTTTTTTTCCTGGTACTGGGGATCTAACTTGGGACCTAGTTGCTTGTGAGGCAGGTGTGGTGCCACTGAGCTAAATCCCTGGCCTGATTTTTTTTATTTTTATTTTTTTGGTACCAGGGATCAAACTCAGGACCTTGTGCTTTCCAAGCAGGCGGAGGAACCACTGAGATAAATCCCTACCCCTGGCTAAATGCCCCTCCCAGGCCCCTGATTTTATATTTTGAAACTGAGTCTTGCTAAGTTACCCAGTCCCTATTTGTTTTTTGGTTTTTTTTTTTTCTTTTTTTTTTGGAATACATGGTCTTTTTTATTTTTTTTAATTGAGTTTATTGGTACAATCTAGGTATACAATACAGTTAGGTTCATCATTGGGATTCTGTACCTTTACATAATAGGTCTTGGTTCTCATTTTTCCCCCTTGTCCCTGCCCTCCCTTCACCCCCACTCCCCTCCCCATTTACAAACACTTTATTTCCATTTTTTCAGTTTCTCATATTTTTTCCTCTCCCTTATTACCTTTCCCCCACCCTTCCCACTTTCCCTACACCTTTAGCCCTTTACTTCCAACTGAAATACCGAATAGTTTCTTTGGTGCGAAAACTATAATAGTACACAGGATCGCAGTCCCTATTTGATATTGCAGTTTTCTTGCCTCAGCCCCTCCCAGACTGCTAAGATTACAGGTGTGCACCACCATGCCTGGCTTCAGTATTTTATATGATGCTTACTTGTACCTCAGAACTTTCATATCATTTGTTACTTTTTTTGTTTTGTTTTGTTTTTGTTTTTTGAGACAGGGTCTCACTATGTAGTTGAGACTGACCTGGAACTCACTATGTAGCCCAGGCTGGTCTTGAACTCACAGCGATCCTCCTGCCTCAGCCTCCCAAGTGCTGGAATTACAGGAGCACGCCATCACGCCTGGCTCATTTGTTACTTTCTACTGAGAATACTTTCTTTTCTTGCCTAGTTAGCCTCTGTTCATCCTGTTGTCAGCTCCAAAGTCCTTGTTTCAAAGAAGCTCTACATCAGCGCTGCTGTGATAGTCTTAGTCTTGCTAACTTGCGTTTGACTTTCTGTCTAATTCACCTGGAAACTGCACAAGGTGGGGTGGCTGGAGTGTAGTGCTTACCAGCGTTATTCCTGAATAGCCTCGATTACTCACTGGACTCTAAAGCTCTAACATTCTGCCTCAGGAATGCGGCAGGTTATTGAAGATCATCTGTGGTTAGCGTTGGCAGTGTATGGCAGACTTCTTGGTCCTGAATCAAACATGATTAGTGGGGAGGGTAGTGCCGCTTGGTGTCATTTGTCAAGTGTGGGCTGAAAACGAAGTTGGTATTTCTCGGTTGACGTTCTGTGCGAGGATGTGAATCCAGATGGAACCTGCCTCAGGTGTGAGTCAGAGGAGACGTGTGTGGGAACTGATGCTCTCTCGTTGGCACGGGGCCGTGCAGATGTCCCGGTACCTTTGCTTGCTTAAGTATTTAACTTCACTCACTTTTATGTTACCTGCTATTTTGCCTTTTTTAAAAAAAGTTGAAGTGTTTTTACTTTTAAGTCATCATAGAGAATCGTAAGTAGATTCAGGTTCTGTTCTCCGTGACTTCGGCGCTTTTATGAAGCACTTTGTGCTTCCGTTTCCTTAACTCTCGGAGAAAGGATAAATGGCGCTTGTCCACCTAATTCAGGGTTTTTTTTGTGGTGTTTCAAAGAGTCACACAGAAAGCACCAAAGTGGGCTGGTAAGCAGAGTTACATAGTCTTCAACTTTTTAGAACAAAATATATGTTCCAGAATCTATTTCTGGAGCGATCAGAGTTTCTAAAAGCAGCAGGGCTGCCTGATGAGCATCGCTCTCTGGACAGCCGTGACGCCGTCCGTCCGTCCGTCTGTCCGATGCAATCCAGGCGCTGCCCGCCGCCTCGAGCCAAGCCATGCGCTGCGGAAATACGGCCTTCGCTTGTGTGAGAGGTCAGGACGACTGTTCGGTGGTGCCGGCCTTTGTGGCTCTCAGTGCTGCCGGCTCCTGTTAATGCTCGGCGTGTTTGCGCGGCTGCTCCGGGCCACAGTGACTGACGCTGAAATAAATGCAACGTGCGTTCTTTTTCAGATTTACCAAAAATTTGTCTCCTGACAAGATAAATCTGAGTACCCTCAAAGGAGAAGGGGAACTGAAGAATCTGGAGTTGGATGAAGAGGTGCTCCAGAATATGTTGGATTTACCCACATGGCTGGCCATCAACAAAGTGTTCTGTAATAAGGCATCCATTAGGGTAAGGCTCTGTTCCTGTGGAGGGACTTCGTTGTTTTCATTTTTTATTTCATCTCTGTCTTTTGAAATAAATACTGTTTTAGATAATTCTATAAAGAAACATTTTATGAACATAATTTAGGAAAAATCTGCATAAACTGATTATGATTGTTTTGAATGTAATTGAAGTCATGTTAACATTTTAATAATTGGTAGATTTTAGTTTTGTTTAAAATTTAATTTTATTAATCTTTTAAGTAAAATTGTTGATTTGTTAGTAATAAAATAATTGCATCGAACGTTTTATGCGGTTTATTGTCAGACGGGGTACTTATTTCTTAGTGTACACATTATATTTTTATTAGGACCCCTTTAACCCTTTTCCTGATTTATTTCATTGTCACTTTGAGGATTTTTAAGTTGATTTACTCATTATTGTTAAATCTACTTACTGTGAATTATTTTAACTTTGAATCTTAACACATCAAGTTGTACAGTTTTACTCTTAAAGATGGGGCTTAGTTTGAGACCTGCTTAATACAAATACTGCATAGTAGTTTTTTACATAAAATTAAAATTTGGTTTTCTTAAAAAAAAAAAAAAGTAAGGTTTCCTGTTCCTTTGATGCTCATCTTCCATTTTGGTTCAGTCTCCCATAAACTCCGTATCTACAGAGACTTGACAATTTAGTGTTTGAACATTATTTAATTTATTGCCTGTACTTTACATTAATGGCCTTTTGTATGTTTTGAATATCTACAAATGTATTGGTCAGAATTCTAGGATTACACAAATTGCTAGGTGAATAGTGATTGTGTTTGGCTAGGAGTGCTTTTTTATTTTTATGTATTTACTTTTTTTAGTTTTTTGAGACAGGGACTTGCTGTGTAGTTCAGGCTGGCCTTGAACTCACTGTGTATCCCAGACTGCCCTCAAACTTGAGTTATCCTCCTGCCTTGGCCTCCTGAGTGCTGGGATTACAGGCACACATAATACCATGCCTGGCTCTAGGAACTCTTTTAAATTAATATACTAAAATATATTTTAAGGACTTGGAAAAATAACATGCAATTTTTATTTAAACAGTTGATTGAGAAAATACAGCTGTTCAGTTTTGCAATTTAAGAAAAAAATCATCTGATAGAATTTGATGTTTGTCACTAGAGCATCTGTTGATTACTGTCTTATAATTGCTTTTTAATAATTCGTTTTAAAGAAAAAATATTTATTTGTAGATCCCCTGGACAAAACTGAAAACACATCCTATCTGTTTGGTAAGTTCTGAAGCCACTTTAGAAATAAGCCCACATATATGCAAATTATCTCTACTCTTTTGTTTCATGGAAATGCTTTTCTGACCACTAACTTCCTTTTATTTTGGTTGGACTTAGCTTTTTCTGCCCTTATATGAGAAGTTTGAATTTCAAGATAAGGAGAGATTTAAAGTTTTTAGGTCTAGAGCAGTGATGGTGAACCTTTTAGAGCTTTCAGTGATACAAACAGTGCCCTATGGCTCGTGTGCTATAGGTTCGCCACTGCTGGTCTAGAACGTCATGTTCAAAGTGGGTTTAGTTATTTATTTTTTGCGGTTTGTTTTTTTTGGTACTGGGGATTGAACTCAGGTCCTTGAGCTTGCAAGGCAGGCCACTGAACTGCTGAGCTAAATCCCCGGCAAAGTTGGTTTATTTTATTGTGTCTCTTAGCTCTTTTTTTGTTGTTGTTAGTGGGCAAACACGTGCTAGGCAAGCATTTTACCACTCAACTACATCCCCAGCTCTTTTCATTTTTTATTTTGAAACAAGTTACTTGTAATCCTCTGGCTTTAGGCCCCCAAGTGCTGAGATTACAGGGAAAGTAATGCACCACTGTGCCTACCTGTATCATTTAACTCTTTATTGGCATATTATGGAATTGTTTCTTTAATAACATGTGATCTAGACTTTCTGTGTTTTTGCTCTTACTGATACAGTGAATTAAGTACTGTGTTCTTTACTGTACTTCACCCCCCAACCCTAGTACTGAGGATCAAACTCAGGACCTTGTGCTTGCCAGTCAGGCATGGCGCCACTGAGCTACATCTCCGGCCTCTACTTTACTTTTTAAGGAAAACTGAGAAGAATTGATCATTTATTGATTCATTTATTCTGTTTTTGTTTTTGTGGCCACTTTGGAGATTGAACCCAGGGCTGTGAGCATGCTAAACACAAGCTACCCTGAGCCTCTGCCTGTACACAGGTCCATAAATTTTTGTTGAGCACCTGCATTGTACCCTGAGAAAACTTATATATTAATACAGACTGACTGAACGAGTGCATAACTAAAGCTGTGTGATTGTAGATGATAATAAATATATACGTGAAGTAGAGAATAAAGAGTGACTCTAGGTGTGTCAGTGATACCTACCCAAAGACATTGCATCTTTCTTCAAGAAAAAAACTATTGCCCTGAAAAAGGACTTTTCTCCTATGGAAGTGTTTATTTTTTTCGTATTTCTTGCTTCATAATTTTCTTAATTTTATGTCTAATATATCAGGTCTTAGATTAGGATAAGCTTTTTAGGGGTGGTTCAGGATTGTTTATAATTTTTCAATTTATAGTGTAATACTTCGGGCATTAGAGACTACACTTTCATAAAATGTGATGATCTTATCAGCCATTGGATACTTCTGAATGTTTTCCCCATGCTCATAGAATATGCACAACTTTTCCCACATAAATGCATTGAAATAGGGCTGAGTATTTTGTTTTCCTTTCCTTTCTTTTTTTTTTTTTTTTTTTTTTTTTTTTGTGTGTGTGTGTGTGTGTGTGTGTGTGTGTGTCAGGGATTGAACTCAGAACTTTGTGCTTGCCAGGCAGGTTTGGTGCCACTGAGCTAAATCCCTGACTTTGTTTTCCATTTTTTGGCATTTGACTTTAAATTTTAGAGGCACATTTAAAATTACTCTGCTTAGCTGGGTGTGGTGGCTCACGCCTGTAATCCCAGCACTGGGGAGGCTGAGGCAGGAGGATCGCTGCGAGTTCGAGACCAGCCTGGGCTACATAGTGAGTTCCAGGTCAGTCTCAACTACATAGTGAGACTCTGTCTCAAAAATAAATAAATTAATTAATAAAACAAAATAAAATTACTCTGCTTACTTCCTGTGTATTTTGCTCCTGTGAAAAGAATCTTAAATATACTTCCATAATATACAATAAAATGCATGATAAAATAAAATATCCAAGAAATTGTTTATATTCTTAATATTTTTATTAGTCTTTAGATAAAGTGATAATGGAGATGAGTACCTGTGAAGAACCTCGAACCCCTAATGGTCCATCACCAATTGCAACAGCCTCGGGACAAAGGTAAGTGGTTCACAGCATTCTGTGTGGCTATCAGAGGTAGATTTTTTTGTTTGTTTTTGTAAGCTGTTATCTGCAGCAACAGGACATAAAGAAAATTAAATCTTTTAACCGCAGTCTCTTTCAGTTGCTTCTCCCATCAAACATTTTATGTGTTTAGTTGTATACATTGCAAAAGTAGCCAGGTGTGTGATGATGGTGCATGCCTGTAATCCCAGCACTCGGGAAGGCTGAGGCAGGAGGATTGCCATGAGTTGGAGACCAGCCTGGGCTCCATAATGAGTTCAAGTCCAGGCTGAACTACATAGTGAGACCCTGTCTCAAAAAAAAACAACAACACCAAAAAGAAAAGTAGCAGAGATTTTTAGACTTCTTTCATTCATCGTGGTTTCTGTACTGTTAAGTAGTAATGACCAACCAAGTAATGATTAACCACAATTGCAGCAGAAAAGAGACGCAAAAGAGCTTAGGCAGTCTGTAAGTCAGATAATCTCTTAGTTTCTAAATACAGCAGTTCTCTCTTAACTATCGGTTTACTTTCTATGGCTTCAGTTATCTGTGGTCAGCCACGGCTCACAAATTCCAGAATTAAACATTTAATTAATTTTAAATTTCATAATAAGAATAGCATGAAATCTTGCACTGTCCAGCCAGGGATGGGAATCATGCTTTTGTTCAGTGTATCTGTGCTGTATAGGCTACCTGCTCACTCGTCACTTAATAGAGGCTGGGTTATAAGACTGACCATCAGGGTATCACAGTGCTGGGTTCAAGTAAGCGTCACAGAGAGTGGTGAATTGTTAGTCACCATACCTAAGTTGCTTGCCTTTCCATGTTATTTTTGTTTTGTTTTTTGAGACAGGTTCTCACTATGTAGTTGAGACTGACCTGGAACTCGCTATGTAGCCCAGGCTGGTCCTGAACTCACAGTGATCCTCCTGCCTCAGCCTCCCGAGTGCTGGGATTACAGACGTGCGCCACCACACCCAGCTTGCTTGCCTCTCTTAATCTCAAGTAGGCACTGTTTCATCTCACATTATCAAAAAAGAAGGATATATATACACTAGAATAAAATATTTTTCCATTTTAATATTAATACAAGGTGTGATGAAAATATATTTAATTTTAAAAATTAATTACAGTGAAATCCACGTTACTCTCCCTCAAAATGTTTCTCACCTCCAGCACTCATCGTTCTTGCCCTTTCTTAACCCAACCTGGAAGTTCTCTTGTGTGGGTGTCTTCACTTGTGCTGCTGTGTCTGCCTTGATGCCCTGAACTGATTTAAACACATTTGCCTTCTCCCGTCATTTCGCTTTAGGGGAGAGCCAGAGGTGCGCAGTGCCAGATCTGGTGAGTCAGGTGAATAAAGACACGCCGTAACACGTTCACCAGCCTGCCTTTCTGTTGGGTGGCACTGGGCAGCAGCATTTACCATATTTTTGATCACATCTCATATTCACCTTTCTGCTTGTACTTAGTGACATGACCTGGAAGGGCTGGCTGGGCACTGACTTAGTTTCCTCCTCTGAATGGCAGATTGTAACAGTCATTTATTCACTCATTCCTTCATTTTTTTCAATTTTGGCACTGGGTGTTGACGTGTGTGCTGGGCCTGCGCTCTCTGGCTGAGCTGCACACACTCCCAGCCCCATCTATTCTAATGCTGCGTGCATTAAATGTTACACTTCCCGCTGGTGATGTAGCTCTGTGATGGCACGCGCTTGGTAAGGCCCTGGGTTCAGTCCTCAGTCCACACACACCTAATACGGTTGGCTTTTTTCAAAAGAGATTCCACATAGTTATTATAGCAATATTCTTTCCAACTCTAGGAGTATTTCTAGCTTCAGTAATGAGTATTTGTCCTTCGCATCCAAGCAGCTCTGCTGTAGGATGCTGATGAGGTCTTGCTCTTCATTTCTCAGTTTTCTAAACAGTGAGTAACTGGCCGCTTTGCTTTGTAACAAAATTACCCGAGGCGAACAAAAGAATCTGTAAATCACTATACAGATATCATTTCACTAAGGGTTAATAGCCTTTTGCGGCAGGTATTTCTATACATGAAGAAATGGAGGCTCAGAGACTGTCACAGTTTAGCAGTAAATTATTACTCTTAATAACAGTTATACTCTGTAATATTTGTTGCGAGCTGCTAGTCTACCTGGGTTGGCAGCGTATGATGTTAACTGTATATAAAGTGTGACCTTACCTGAAAGCTGAGTTCTATAGCCTGTGTACAACACTCGGGCTGAGGCCAGAGGATCATTTGGGCCCACAAATTTGAAACCAGCCTGGGAAACACAGTTAGACCCCACCACAAAGAGGGGGAAAAAAAGGGAAGGAAAGATAAAAGAGTCTCTGTTGTTTATAAACTCAACAGCAACAACAGAGTGAGTTATCGGGTTTAGAAATTTACGTAATTTATTCATTAGCACAGCAGATGGGAAGAGCAGAGCAGGGGCGGGGCTGTGGCTAAGGGGTCCTGGTGGGCCTCTGAGTTGTGCAGTCTGAAGTCCCAGCAAGAAATCTGGGTAGACAGCAATACAGAAATGATGGGCAGATGGGTGGAGATAATGTGCCCTCTGGGCAAACCTTTTCCGCCCCTGCCTGCCAGTATGTACCGTTAGGTGCTGTAAAGTTCATTCTCGCATTGTGGTCTCTGCTTCCTCCCTCTCTGTGCCTTTGTTCATGTTTTCCCCTGTTGTAAGATTTCTCTTCCTTTTCCCTTCTTCCTGTGAAAAGATGTATGTCTCCCTAGCTATAAGCAGTCTTTTCCTCTCATGAAGAATGCTGTTGAGCCAGGTGTCGTGGTACACTCCTGTTATCCCCTCACTCAGGAGGCTGAGGCAAGAGGATCGCTGTGAGTTCGAGGCCAGCCTGGGCTACATAGTGAGAACTGATCCAGCTTGAACTACAAAGGGAGACCCTGACTCAAAAAAAAAAAAAAAGGGATTATTTTGAGTTCTTTTTAAAGTTTTCGATTACAGATTTCCTCAGGTTACCACAATGTATATTTTTTTCTTCCCTAAATAACTTGTGAGCCCTGTAGTGCTACAGCCAAATTTTGATTTTCTTTGCATCTCAGTATCATTCATGTGGGATAATTAAATATGTATTGAATTAGAGAATGTGAATTTTTTCTGTTTTTAAGTTATGACATATTTCAGTTAAACTTTTTAACCTTCTTTGTGTTAATATTTAGCTTTCTTATTGGCTTTATAGATGTTAATTGATGGAAGTTTTGTTTTTTGTTTTTTGTTTTTTTTTTGTACCGGGGATTGAACTCAGGTCCTTGCACTTGTGAGGCAGTCACCAGAACCACTGAGCTAAATCCCTGGCATTTGTGGAAGTTTTTTGAGGGTAAGCAACTGTGGATATTGATTTAATAAAGACTGAGTTCTAAATTTTTAAAGCTTTTACAGTCTGAGAACTTTTGGGGGGCAGTGCTGGGGATTGAAGCAGGGGTTCCCATGTGCCAGGCAAGTGCTACACCACTAAGTACATCTCCACCTTTTTTATTTTTTTGAGATGAAGCTTCCTGACTGCCCAGGCTTGCCTTGAATTTGCGACCCTGCTGCCTCCGTTCTCTCAGTTGCTAGGATTACAAGTGTGTGCCAACACACCCAACAAGAACACGTTTAAAAATTAGCATATAACCATTCTAGATTATGGTCTCAACAACAAATTTGTACTTTAAAAAAACAAAACTAACAATAAAAGGGTAAAGAAGTTTGTATGTGTGCTTGTGTGAGAATATTAACAACCTTTTCTCTTAATGATTTTTGTTGTTGGCTTTAGTGCATTATATTTTGTTTTGCTTTGTTTTTCCAGTGAATATGGCTTTGCGGAAAAAGTAGTTGAGGGAATTACTGTTTCTGTAAATTCTATTGTCATCAGAATTGGAGCAAAAGCTTTCAATGCGTCCTTTGAACTTTCTCAGCTGCGAATCTATAGTGTCAATGCAAACTGGGAGCATGGAGATTTAAGGTTTACTCGTATTCAAGATCCACAGAGAGGAGAAGTAAAGATTTTTTTTCTTTTTAAAGTTTTAGTGATAAAGACTTTTAAAAGAATTACATTTTATGCCTGGCTGGTTTCACATACTGCTAGATATCTTCATCTTGCCTTATAAATGTGCCTTTCTCTGTGTTATACTTTTTAATTATAAAATGTTTATATATTAATGATTTTCCTTTATAAAATTTTTTACCTTATAGAATTAATGATCTATTTTAACTTCTCATCTACTTAATTTTAAATTTACAAAATTAAAATACATTATTTAAATGCTTTTTAGTAACACAAGTCAAGTGTTTTTAATACTGTAAATGAAATATCTTAGAATAAAAATATTAGCAGTTTAAAAATGATGAATATAATTATTAAGATTTGTTACTTAATCTGATGGAAGTTTTAAAATTAAAATCTGAATGATGAATATTTTTTGGATGTCGTAAAGTTAGTTGAGAATATTCCTTCTTTCTTTATAAATTCCCGTATTTATCATTTTACTTTTCATGAGTATGTGATGCTAATCTCCATGTTCTCTTAGGTTTTGACATTTAAAGAAATAAATTGGCAGATGATTCGGATAGAGGCAGATGCTACCCAAAGTTCACATCTTGAAATTATGTGCGCTCCTGTTCGATTAATAACCAACCAATCCAAAATCAGAGTCACACTTAAAAGAAGAGTAAGTCAGCCTTACCTTTTTCATTTGTTAACTATTAGAATTGGGAAGAAATTTTAGATAACTTTTTAGGTAAAATATTGGCATATTATGAGTGGCATATTAAAACAATATAAAATAAAAGCAAATGTAATACCTTAAGCAATATTTATAGAAAACCAATAGAATTATGATTCGTTTATTTTTCAGATTTAATATGTACATTTTCAAAAATGTTTATTTTTGATAAACAGAATAGATTCCTCAGTTGTCCAGTATTTGTTGAACATTTATTGTCCTATAAGTTTATTTCCGGGGCCAAGAGAGTAGCTCAGTGCTAGCGTGCTTGGCTAGCTTATGGAAGGCCCTGGGTTCAATCCCCCAGCACTGCCAAAAAAAGAAGAAAGCAAAAACACAAACAAAACAAATGCAGAAAAGTAATTTCATTTATCCTGTTGAATCTTGCTTAGGAATAAATAAACGGCATACCCTTAATGATTAGCATTAAATCCTTAGCATTAGTAGGTAATTTAACTATGATTGGTAATTTAGATAAATTGGAATGATGATTAGTTAAGCTATCAGAACTTGAGATGGCTTCAATGAAATTTTTTTTTTTTTAATTTTGTTGAGTTTATTGGTACATTTTAGGGATACAGTACAGTTACATTCATTGTTGGGATCATGTACCTTTACATGGCAAGTCTTGATTCAATGAAATTTAATAAGGAAGTGATGATGGCTTTTAACCAGGGTTCAGTGAAAGACTCAGTAATAGGCTTTGTATCACTAGGCACACATAACTATTAAATTGAAAAAACTTTTCTGTATATAGTACTTAACAGATAACCTGAAATGTGGATAAAATACCATTTTTTAGGTTTTAATTAATTTCAGTGCCCCTTTCTTTGCCAGAATTAGTTAAATTAATATAGGTAATTATATGATCTGTCAACCACATGCAGAATTATACAAGCGCTGTGTAAGTTGTACTTGTTAAGGTAAGGAATTTGTCAGTTTTTTAATTACTACTGTTACATCAGTACTAGAGATAATCCTCCTTCATAGATATTCAAGACATCTTTGTTGAATGAAAATATCCTTATTTGATTCTGTTAAAAAACTAAGTTGCTGGGCGTGCTGTTGCACACCTGTAATCCCAGCACTTGGGAGGCTGAGGCAGGAGGATCACTGTGAGTTTGAGGCCAGAATGGGCTACAAAGTGAGTTCAGGGCAAGCCCTATGAAGGGAGACCTTGCCTCAAAAACCAACCAACCAAACAAACCAAAAAAACCCCAAAACTTTAAGCTTTTATATAAATGCAAGTGTGTTATAATTTTATTCTTGACTTAATTTTTATAAATCATTTTTTCTGACAGTTAAAAGACTGCAATGTCGTAGCAACAAAATTAGTTCTAATATTGGATGATTTATTATGGGTTTTAACGGATTCACAGTTGAAAGCTATGGTACAATATGCAAAATCTCTTAGTGAAGCAATAGAAAAATCAACAGAACAAAGAAAGAGTATGGCTCCTGAACCCGCACAGGTAAGCTGTAAATTGAGAGGAAAAAGCCTTACTTTTCGGGCATATAGTTTAAAAACTAGAGTGACTAGTTGTTTTGTGTATATGAAATTGATTTTAAGACTGAGGCCAGGCCAGGCGTGGTGGCTCATGCCTGTAATCCTAGCACTCGGGAGGCTGAGGCAGGAGGATCGCTGTGAGTTCAAGACCAGCCTGGGCTACATAGTGAGTTCCAGGTCAGTCTCAACTATATAGTGAGACCCTGTCTCAAAAAAAAAAAAAAAAAAAGTGAGGCCAAAGCATGTTCTTTTTAGATATCTTACTGTATAATTATGTATATTTTATATCTAAAAATACATATGTTAGTATTATATAGTGTTCATTTTGTTTGGAGTTCTGTACCGGGGACTAGTTATTGATGATGTAAAAGTATTTGATGTTATAAGACATCTTTTCAGGAAGCCAAAAAATACAATTTAAAAAATTCTGAAATAAAAGAAAATGTGAATAACACTTGGGTACTTTTAGGCAAGAGAGGGCATGTTGAGAATTGATAAGAGAACTAAAGCCATAGGAAATTGCTGAAGTTGAAGACAAAACTTCTGTTAGAGTTTTCTAGTGGCTGGGGTAAAAAATGGGGAACTACTGAGCTGTTACTGCTTTCTTAAAATCAGGAGCACTACTGGTTTGTCTGAAAAGCATTTTCCCGTCTTTCTCAGTATTAATTTCTGAGTGCTAATATACGAAGATCTTTGTAGAAGGGACATGGAATACCCAGGGGTATTATCTTTGATAATTTTATTGAAAGTACAAGTAAATTTCTTACACCTACCTCTATTAACAACCTGTCAGATACTATAAAATCATATTTTCTGGATATAATAATCATGTCGGGTACACGGCATGTTGTGATCTCTGGTGTTGCACGTGGGGGTGGTATGCACTTTAGACTTTCTGTGGCTGTCATTGGCGTTGTTCACTGCCGGCCTGTTATGTCATCAGGCACAGAGGTACACATTTTAATGTAAAAATAAGTATCACCTGATCCTGCTTTCAGGGACCTAAGAATGTAATGGGAAGTGCAATATAAAATAAATATTGTAGTTCAGTGTAAATGTAGGTGCAAAGAAACAAAGGAGGGGGAAGAGGACGAGCTATAAAGACACAGAAAAGTTTTAATTAATTGTTTGCAGAGTCTGGAAAGGTTTTACAAAGAGAACAATTAAATCTTTTCCGACTGTCTGTGAAGTGTCTGTGTGTGTGTGTCCCCCAGAGCACGCCACACAGTTGTCCTGGGGTACCAGAGGCCCTCTGTGTCTTTGTACTTCATCAGCCTCCTATGCCTTTTCTCTCTTGGGAGAAAAACCTTGAACTCAAAACCTTCTGCTTTTTGGTTTCTTCAGCTACCTAATTGCAGAGGACACATTACTTCTCTTTTGTGAGGCAGTAGGCCACTTATACAATTAAATTAATATCCCAGATTGCTCCTACGACGCGATGATTGTTGTGACAGGACGTGCCATAATATATACAGGGCTTGCAGTTATTTTCTTCTTAGTACTGAGAACTAATACCTAAATACATTTCCTTTAGGGTAAGGAAATAAAGGAAAAGAAAAACATGAAAAAAGGAAAAAATGCAAACAAAGACTTTATAAATAGGGAAGAGTGAAGGGGGTGAAGGCAGGGCAGGGGGACGGGGAAAAAACAAGAACCAAGACCTATCATGTAAAGGTACAAGATCCCAGTGATGAATGTAACTATTATTTACCTTAAATATACCAGTAAACTTAATGGAAGAAAAAAATGTAAACATCAGCCACCCTAGAAGTGACACTGAAAGAAATGAATGTTCTATAAATTTTTAAGTGAGATCAAAAAGACAAGCAATGACTTAAGAGCTGTTGCAGATTTAAGGATAATAAAGAGATTAAACAACTATTAAATGAAAAATAAATAGCTTCCTTTAATAATAATTACATTTTCTAAAATATGGGCCATAAATATGTTTATATATATATTTTTTTGGTACCGGGGATTGAACTCAGGCCCTTGTGCTTGTGAGTCAGGCACCAGAACCACTGAGCTAAATCCCCAGCCCAACGGCCATAAATATGTTAATATGACTACTCGAATATTTATTGAAATATTAGGTTCATAATCAAATTGTATATAATGCTCCAGTTTTAAAATTTTAGATTTATTCTTATATAATTCAGAAAATATTTTAGAGAAAACCTGAGTTATTGACACAAATGTATTTTGCTAGTTTTCACGACTTTATTGCTGCACATAGTCGGGTGTGCCTGCGTGTGAAAGTTCACGTGTGTAACCTGCAGTGATGGTGCGGTTTTGGGTGTTTTAGAGCTCCACCGTTACTCCTTCCACCCAGCAAGTGAAGACGCCGCAGGCTTCAAATGCTCCCGATCTGAATGACGCAATTGTGAAACTATTCAGTGACTTTGATGTTAAGGAAACCTCCCATCATTTAGTGATTTCTCATCTAGATCTACACATATGTGACGATATCCATGCAAAAGAAAAAGGTATTAAAAGGTTTATTTCAAACTATTTTGACTTTTCTAGAATTGACTACAAAACTGGATTACTTACATATGTATTACTGTGTGTAGTATTCTATACTGTAATTTATGATAATTTTGTCTTTCATATGAATGCTTAGATGGGATTTATAATTTGAAGCACTATATATTGGCATAAAATTTTATTTTGCTGAAATAATGAACACTTAAGATTCACTGTTACCTATCAGTGCTAACAGAAAAATTAAGTTAAAAAAACACTCAAAGACAGTGGCTTGAGATGTAGCTCAGTAGCAGCAGCGTGCTTGCTTGCTTCATTGAAGCCAAAGTCCTGGGTTCAACTCTCAGCACTTCAAAAAAATAAAGAAGCATAGACTAAATAGATGACATTTTTGGATAAAGTATTAGACTTGCCTTTGACATAATTTTTCAATACTTTGAAATTGTTCATAAATTAAATTTTAGCCTATACTCTCTTCATAATTATTTACATGTTTTCAGCATTGTAGTTGACCTACCTGTTTCTGGATCCATGAACACATAAACACAACTAAGGGGCTCTTTAACATTGGTTTCCCCTGACCCAGCCTCTCAAAATTTGGTTTGGCGCCTAAGTTCCAGTTTGAAATTTAATTTTTTTTCTTTAATTTTTGTTCTTCATATTTATCCTTACTGAATGGACTCAGATTATCAGGCTAATCAGGAAGTCACTCCCAGTTACTTTTAACAGTCTATGGTTCAGAATAGAGGATGCCGAAACAACCCCAGGCACATTTCAGCTATATGATCTTTCATAGCAGGGGGCCAGAAATATACACTGCAAGGAAAATAGCCTCTTTGATGAATTGTGCTGGAAAACTGGCTTTCCACATGCAGAAGATTGAATCTAGCCCCTATCTCGCACCATATACTAAACTAAAATCAGAGTGTATCAAAGATCTAAATATTAAAACAGGAACAAACAAAAAAAAACCCCAGAAACAATCTGCTGGAAGATAAAATAGGTAAATCTTAAATACATAGGCATAAGCAGGGACCTTTTGAATAAAACCCCAGCTACAAAAGGAAATAACCTCAAGATCATATCAGATTTAAAAGCTTCTGCACAGCACAGGAAACATCCAACAGAGTGAAGAGACAACCTATGGAATAGGAATTTTTTTTTTGCCAGATATTTCTTAGAGGACCAATATCAGAATATAAAGAACTCAAAAATTAGACCTCCCTAAATACCAAGTCAAATAAAGGGTAACTGAAATGAACAGATTCTTCTTAGAACAAGTATAAATGGCCAATAAATACATGAAAAAATGTTCAACATTTCTGCTCGTTAAAGAAGTGCAAATTGAAAGAATACTGAGATTGCATCTTATTCCATAAAGAAAATCACAAAATCGAATAATAGATGCTGGTGAGGCTGCGGGGAGATGGGGGAAGGAACCCTTTCACATTGTTGATCGGACTCTAAACTGGTACAGCCCCTATGGAAATCAGTATGAAGATTTCTCAAAAAACTAAAACTAGAAATTTTCTTCAACCTAGCCATTCCCCTTCTAGGTATCTCCTTAAGAGAGTTAAATTATATTACAGTGACCCTTGCCTACCCATGTTTGTAGCAGCACAGTACCTACTAGCTAAATCTGGGAAGCAGCCTATATGTCCATCAGCAGATGAAAGGATAAAGAAAATGTGGTGTCCATACACAAGGGAGTACTATGCCACGAAGAAGGACAATATTGGAGTCAGGGACAATATTGTTTGCAAGGGAAGAGATTTAATAGAGGACGCATAATTTATAGGATTATTTTATAATATTCACCCAAAAAGTCAAATGCAGAGAAGTTCAAGAGATCTGTCCGCACTCTAGAAAACTGAAGAATCCAGCTGAGGGCCTATGTCCTGCACAAAGTCCAGCTAATGGCCTGGAGCCCAAGGCAATGTCCTGCACAAGTCCAGCCAGAGCCCTGGAGCCCATGGCAGTGTCTCATGCAAGTCTGTATGGAGGATCTGCATCAGGAAGTCCAGAAGGCCAGTGGTGGAAGCTAGAAATCCTGTGCCAGTGGGGTGAAAGATCTGTGCCACCAAGCTGAGGGATCTGCACTGGAGCTAGGAACTATGCTAAGGGCAAAGACCAGAGCTCCCCTGATGAGAGAACAGCAGCCGTTCCCAGTGACAGTGAGGACCCGAGCTCTGACAGTGTGTGTCAGGGAAACCCGCCGTGGCAAACTTCTATAGGAACATCAGCAGCGAACGATCTTCCCCTCCAGTTCTCTGCACGATGTTGGCAACAATCCTCAGGTGGGTCCTCCATGCCCAGAACCTTGCTGGCAGGGTTCGGCTGGACATTCCAAGCTGACCGTTTGTTCATCCACCACAGACAAATGTGAGTCATTTGTAGGAAAATGGATGTATTTCAAGAGCACAATATTAAGTAAGCTGGACACAGGTTTAAATATTTCATAATTACTATTATATGAGAAACCAAGAGTATAAGTAAAAGGCACAGTAAGAGATAATAGGAAATAGGGACATAGATCATTTGCAAGAGGGAAGAGAATCAAGAGATGGAGGATGTGGGGAGGGACTGGAGAGAGGGATGAAGAAAGAATAAAGGTGCGTCAGGCACATGTACCAAGCCCCGCAAGGAATGTAAACATGTTCCACGGACATGGACTAATAGGAATAAAAATGTACAATAAAAATTCAGCTTATGGGCTAAAGAGTAAATGCGTTAGAGCTGAAGAGAGAATTATTAAACTAGGTGAAACTGAGTAAATCTCACAGAGTGTAAATAAAGAGAAGCTGGAATATAGGGAAAAGTCTGTGGTCCCATGGTCCAAGTGCTGAGCATTTCTGTCTGCCGAGCACGGCCTTGGCTTGCGTGTGGCAGGAGATTGGCAGGCAGGCCCGCAGGGAGACCTGTGCTGAGCGTTAGAACCAGGCTAGAACCGAGATCTCAGACAGTGGAGATATTTGACCTGTCTGCCTCAGCCCTGACCAGAAGCTATGTAAATCCATGGGAATTACTGCTTTAAAGCTGAGGGAGTGAATATTGAGAACTGGATATCTTGCTGCAGAAGTTACCCGGCTTTCCTCAGACAAGCAGCCAGGAAGCAGCGGCCAGGTAGAAGGGTGGAGGACAGAGGTGGAGATCAGGGTCTGCTGAGGGACTTGTTCTCCTTCTACATTTCCATGTCCCTCGACTCAGTGTTGTTATCTTCTGCTTTAGTGATTTGAAAGTAAAAACCCCAAAGTTAAACCAAACCAAAGTAACAAAATGAGGTGGTTGAAGTTAAGTAATAAGTGTTTTTTACGTAATCTCTGTTACGTTCCTAACAGTTTATTGTTTCCTCACAGAGTAGCTGGATGATTTTCCTAAGAGAATCTTCCTTTGCCAATGTAACTCCCACACATGGAGATCTGTAATCACTTCCGCTATTCTGAAGTAGAAAAGGTTGTGAAACGTGTAGAGGAGAAGGTTACATTGGGACACGGATTGGAACAGGAACTGCAGCTGTGGTTCCGCAAACGGAGCCACACTCAGAAGTTCAAGGCTGCAAACAGTCTTGAGAACCATCCGATAACATTCTGGGAACGGTCTGCTTTGAGAAAGTATATGAATAACTAGAACTAGGCGTTCATAAAAAATATTTTCTAATGCTTTGCTAGAGATATAATCTGTAAGGAACTAATTGTTGATTCTCATGGAAGTATTATGCATGTATCTGATAAAAACCGGGGTTGGTGAGAGTTGGCTGCTGTCTGTCTGTGAGAGCTTCAGCCCTCTACTCCTCGGCAGAACTACATTCCTGCTGTCTGGATGTCCTTTGCATCCCCAACAACAACAGAAATGGTTTCCTAAGTTTGTGAAAAATTCATTTGGTAGCAAAGTCCAACTTGACCAACAAACACATCATTATCATCTTTTGCCCACTTAGTATAAATATTTACACATTTTGCTGGAGAGAGACTTTTTTATTACTTAGTACTGCCTCAGAAACTGCTAGGAATTTAAATATACTTTGTATGTACCATATTAATTTCATTTAGTCTAAAACTTCCACATTTTGAAACATTTAGCTCCTCAGGTGTTAGATCAGAGATTGTAGATAAACTGGAATGAACAACTTGAGATAGGATTACATACACAGCTACATTTTAGTTTCTATTTACCCCTAGTTGACTTCCCTGGGCTGTTTCAAAGTTTGATTTTTATGTTTTAGAGAACTGATCTATGATCGACCTTTGATCTTGCTGTATCTGTTTGACTCTAGACAACTGCCCTAATCTAGTAGATTAAGTGTCCTCTTTGCTAAGAGGCATGATGATGTGGTGAAGTGGTTAAGATTTTCTGGTTTTAAAACTCAACTCTACACTTAAATAGATTTTTTTTTTTTTTATTGAGTTTATTGGTACATTTAGGGATACAGTACAGTTACATTCATTGTTGGGATCATGTACCTTTACATGGCAAGTCTTGATTCTCATTTTTTTCCCCTTACCTCTGCCCTCCCTTCACCCCCTCCTCCCCTCCCCATCTACAAACACTTTATTTTCATCTTTTCATTCTCTCACATTTTTTTCTTTTCCCTTTTTGTTCTTCCCCTACGTATCACACCTTCCCTACACCTTTAGCTCCTTTCCTCCCATTTCTAAATGTCAGTAATCTTATTAGAATCTTATGCATTGTTGCAGAATATTCACACCAGGGAAACTATTTGGTATTTACACATGTGGGACTTATTTATTTCACTTAGGAGTATTTTTTTGGGTTTTTTTTTTTTTTGAGATAAGGCCTCCCTGTGTCGTTCAGGCTGTCCTTGAACTCATTGTTCAAGGCCCAGGCTGGCCTTGAATTTGAGGTGATCCTTCTGCCTCAGCCTCCCTAGTGCTGGGACTATAGGCCTGCACCACCACGCCCAGCTTTAAATCGCTTTATGATCATGGCCCCTTACTCTGTTTTTTCCTCAATTTCTTTATCTAGAAATTGGTCCTAGTAATTATAATATCTATTTCCTGGGACTGTTAGGAAACGAGTAAGTATTGAATACGATGCCTGGCATATGGTTAGGATTTATAAAAGTTCCACTGCTATCTTCTCTAAACTCTCAGAAGAGTTAGATACTATTTTTTTCCTTTTTTATTTAGTCCAGTATGTAGCAAACGATAGGAACTCAGGATGTACTTCTTAGATTGAGTTGCATTTCCTAAAATACTGATGTAGTGTTTGTGATAAGAAATAGTTACTCCTACTTGGGCTCTAATTGTGCTAAATATTGAATGTCTGATATTTAATTTTTGTTTCCCTTAATTCCATCTTTTTCTTTTCCTAGAGTCAAACAGACGTATCACTGGAGGCGCTATGCAACTCTCTTTTACATACCTGACCATCGATTATTATCCTTACCATAAAGCAGGTGTGTACAACCATTTCTTAAAAATATGCAAATCTTCTTTTAAAGTTATATGGTCAGTTTTTAATTTTTTGTTTTAATTTAATTTGTTTAAGAGAGAAGAATTCTTTACTATTTTTCTCCTGGTCATTTTTTTTCTTTTTTAAACCAAGAAAATTGAATTGCCATAGAAAATATTCATACATTGTCTTTGGAGGTTCATGTAAATTGTTAGAAACTGTTAGAAATTGACAGTTTTGTAAATAACTGATTTAAAACTTTTAAAAAATCAGAATATGGCAGATGTATGTACTGTTTTGTTACAAAAGCAAATTATCAATGTTTTGGATATTTAAATGATATTTGTTATATATATGATTTGGGGGACCTTTCATTTTTCTGCACTTTCTAAATTTTATATTTTAATACATTCTTTAATCAAGTATTGATAAGGTTTTTTCCTAAGTAATAAAAAAGTATGATTATTTATAGCCAAATTACATAATTTAACCTTAGCACCTATCTATGCCTTTTGGCAGTATTTGGCTTATTTTTATGATTTACACAGGAACAAAAGTAAAAAAAACTACAGTGAGTTTTCTGAGACTTGGAAAAACCAGTTTAATGCTTATTATATTTATCATGTTTCCACTTACAAGTGCTTATCGTTTCTCCATTAATGGCTTGCAAAAATTGCAGAACTATTTATTTCCATTTTCTTTTTGTTTTTTGTTTGTTTTCCTTTTTTTCAGACAGGATTCCGCTGCACATTTCAGGCTGGCCTTGAACTCACCCTGTATCCCAGGCTGGCCTCAAACTCGTGGTGATCCTCCTGCCTCAGCCTGAAGTGTGCTGGGATTAGGGCATGTGCCACCACACCCAGTTTAGTTTTCTTTTGAAGGGCTTTGTGTCTTCCTTCTATCCTGTCCTGATTAATAACTTAGTTAGGTAGACCTAAAATCTTTTTTTTCTTGGGGGTACTGGGGATCAAACTTGTACTTGTGAGGCAGGCGGTGGAACCACTGAGCTAAATCCCTGTTCTCTATACTTAAAATTTTAAACTGTAGAAATTGTTCATTCCTTAGATAGTACTTGATTTATAGAATGGGTTTTATGCCTCCTGTCTTCCTTTCATCCTTTTTTGTAGTACTGGGGATTGAACTCAGGGTTGTCCCACTAAGCTGTCCCAGTGCTTTTTAAATTTTTTATTTTGAGACAGTCTTATTAAGTCACTAAGTTGCTCAGAGTGGTCTCCAATTTGCAGTACTCCTGCCTCAGCCTTCCAGAATGCTAGGATTACAGATGTGTGCCATCACTCCCAACTGGATTTACTTTCTTCACCTTTTTATGTACATGTTTCTTTTTTTACTTATAAAGAAACCTAATTTCAATTTTGTATTTTCCTTCCCAAAACGTGCATAGCTCTTTATAACTGATGTCGGACTTGAGAAGTTCTGTTAATTTCTTAAATTTTTTATAATCATCATCTCACCAATTTTATGCAGTAGATTATTGTTAGTCACTTTACAAGAAATCATCAATGAAAATAATCTTTTCTTAAGCAGTATTTTCTCTCCAGTGGAGGTTTGTCGGGCGATCGAGCCCTGAAGTTTGACCAGTCCTGTGGCTCTGAATTGAAACTCTGAGCACAGCTCTACCGTGGATGGGTTCTTGATGGAAACCCTACGGGTCGTTTGCTCTGAACAACTCTTTCCCTCCATTCTGAAAGTCTTACATTTTACAGAAGTAGTAAGTGACGACTAGTGGTAGAGTTTTTGTGGATGATTGAAGACTACCTTGAGAAAGTGACTAAAAATCGTTAAGAATATTGTTATAATAGAAGAGGTAAAAACTGAAATGCCTGTTACTTATTTTACAGGAGATAGTTGTAGTCACTGGATGTATTTCAGTGATGCAACCAAAACGAAGACTGTGTGGGCCAGTGAGTTGCTGCATGAATTTGAGTGCAATGTTGAAATGCTGAAGCGGGCTGTGAAGGATCAGCACAAAAGTTCCCCTCCCAAGTCCCCAACACACGCCTCTCCCCAGCACACACAAGCAGGTACTTAACAGCATGGCCCTGATGTGAAGTGTGTGTGTGTACATGTGCAATTATATTTTCTGTAAATAATACAGTAGTTGTTCAGTGTCTAAAGATCTTGCAGCTTTCATTTAGACCAACATAAGCTTATAGACCAGTGCACTGTAAAGGTTAGTATAACCAATAAGAGAACAGGTAGAATTTCTCAGACTCTTAAATGATTGGTGCGTCTCTCATTTATAACATGTAGGGGAGTGACTAAAGGAGATAAGAGTGTGATTACTGTGTAAAAACAAATAATCATTACAGAAACATACATTCCTTTATCACTTGATAATTTATACAGTTGAGAAATAAGTGTTCGCTTATGTTTCTGTAGCTGTCTTAATAATAAGTGACATTTAAAAAGAATTCTGTAGGAAACTAAAAGGAGTTTTACTCCCACAGAGAAGGATTCTGCTCTGAAGGGGCCTTCCAGAACATCTACAGTGTTACCTCAGCAGTGCAAAGTTAAGCTGATGTCGAGTTCTGTCGTGGTTAGACTTGCAGATTTCAACATATACCAGGTGTGTTTTGTTTTTTAATTTAAATCTGTCACTTTCAGTATCTCACCCAAGCTACTCTAATAACTGATGCCACCATTTTATTTAAAAACATCTTGACCAGTTTTGTGAAAAGACCAAATTAAACAGGATAGAAATAGAAAAAACTGTGTAGCTTTGCTGTTTCTCATAATGGAGAAGTTATGGTAAAGAATTATTACAAAGAACGCATGAAGGAAGCATTCAGGCCTCATCTGTGCCCTAACTCTGCCATTTATTTATCTATATCATTGTCATTATTTTCTTCTTTCTTATTTTAAGGCACTAGATAATAATAAGTTTGCAAGGACTATTACACAGAACTGATTTTGTAGTTAATAAAGATCCAAAATGGTAGTACAGTTTTCTGAGTAGTAGGTGGCTGTAATTTAAAAATGATTTAATGTGAAGTTAAATGTATATTTTAAAAATTTTCATTGACAGCTAACCATTGACAAGTTATTGGAAGTATTTTAAAAGAGTATTAAGTGATGTCCAAGGTGCAGGCTTCTTTGGAAAGGGCTTTGTTCAGCAAATTCAATTTTTTTTTTCAGGTCTCTACAGCAGAACAATGTCATTCTTCCCCAAAAAGTATGATTTCCTGCAATAAAAAATCACTATACCTTCCCCAAGAAATGTCAGCTGTCTACATAGAATTCACAGAATATTACTATCCAGATGGAAAGGATTTTCCAAGTAAGAGGATTTCCTATTTTGTCATTTATTCATTATTTGAAAAGGTGTTTTTTTTTTGTTCTTGAGTTATATAAATGTGTAAAAGTCTATACTTTATTCTTGTCATCACTGTTTGTAGTACATTAGTAAAACATTTGTACTTCTATTTGTTTGTATGTTATTTTCCTTTTATCACTATGACATCCTTGATGGCTGGAATAACTAATTCATAACTAATTTTATTCCTGCCCTGAAGTTTGACTCATTTTTCTGCTTAGTAGCTGTTTGTTAAAAGAATAAATGAAAGTTGTATTAACCCTATAGCACCCCCATTTTATTGAAAAGTAAAAAATTGAAATAGTCTCTTAGCTGGGAAAATATTTTTGGCTGTTTTCTAAATGTCAAGTGCATACTTTAGGTAACTTTTGGCACTTACCTTTTGTTAGAAATATTGAATTGTGTGAATTTTTATTTGTAAGCCACTTTAGTATACTAAATTTAAACTTATTTACATTTTGTGTTCTTTGAATATTAAAGTTATGTGCTGTTGTCTCTGTTAATCTGAGGCCTTCAGAGTAAAAGTTTGCCTTTGATTATATAGTTCTTTTTCCATTATTTTAGACACTGAAAATTGTAGTTGAGAAAAGCTGTTTAGATGGAAATAGGTTGTGTTGTGAGAGGACAAATAATTTAAGTTTCTCTCTCAAAGTGGAACTCCAGGGCATTTCGCCTTACTTTACCTGTGTGTATAATACTGATTTAGTAATTGGTGATGCGCATGCAGTTTTTGGTTTTGTTGCTAGTTTTCTTCCGCACCGTACTTCCTTCCTATTTCCAAAGATAAATACCCTCACATCATAATTACATATCTCTGGTAGGTTTGAATTTCAACTTCTTGTTACCTATCTTGTAACAAACTATTAATCTTTTTTAAGGAAGAAGACTATGCTTTTCTTTTTGTGTTCTTTGTGCTTAGTGTAACATACAAAATGTAGTCAACATTCAGTGGATCTTTGCTAAAGAAAAGTGAATAAATGAATAATGTAAGCAAACATCTCATATGCAGGACACTGTTAATATTTTCTGTGTTCTCTTTTCCCATCCCTTGGATTCATTTTCCTTGACTTTGTTCTAAGTGTACTAGTTGTATATACTTTTAGCTTTGGTAAAAGCAAGTATATTTGAATCTTTGCTCTGCTGTTAAGATTTCAGCAAGTGTTATAAACGCTAATTGTAATACTAGTTTATTTTAAGAGAACTATGAACAATTCATAGTTTGATTCATTTGATTGTTATCCAAGAGATACTTGGATACTCGAGTTTTACTTTACTTCAGGCATCATTATAAACTTTGATTAAAGTAGGAAGTAAAACCGTGGTGGCTCTGTCCTTTAAGGAGTTCTGCCTAGCATACTGCTTTCAAAAGAAATTGGTCTTCAGACTTAAAAGATGCAGATTAAGATTCAGAGAGAGGGTAAAGTCCTCACAGAAATATACCATTAAGAACTACAGTTTTGGTGTGTTACTTCATCAATAAGGCAATATTTTTAGAAGTTTGCTTCTCTTTGAAAATAACCTTAAGAAAAGGAATCTGAATAGTTACTTCCTATTTATTCCTCCAAATTTATATTACATTAAATATTTTTCAGTGAAGCATAGAAAATGTTTTTTTACTGTTTCTGCTGCCATTCACATTACTCTAATTGTATATGTATAATATTTCAAAAAGTTTTAAGAAAGGATAAAACCTCTTAAAATAATCTTTTGTGTTCTTCGGAGAACATTTAGAACTGCCCATTAACAAAATTAAATTTTTTTTTTTTACTCCACAGTTCCATCTCCCAACCTTTATGGCCAACTGAATGCACTGCAGTTTACAGTGGATGAAAGAAGCATTCTGTGGTTAAATCAGTTTCTGTTGGATTTAAAACAGAGTCTTAATCAGTTCATGACTGTGTACAAATTGAATGACAACTCAAAATCTGACGAGCACGTTGATATTCGAGTTGATGGCTTAATGCTGAAGGTATAGACAAGTGGCTGTTAGAATAAAACCACTTTATGGAAGAAAAGTTGGCAGCATTGTAATTTTTAGGATTTAAGATGGATATTTATATATGTCAGCTTCACTAATAATTAATTTTGATTTTGAAATTTCAGATTTGATTCCCTATCATAGAAGATTTAAGACACTGCCCCCTACTCCTCCCCTTGTGTACTACTTAGGACTTTTTATCTTCCTCTAAAATATCTGTGCATTTACAAATACAACTTGGATTGGTCATTTTTCTCTACTTTAAAACTGATAAAATTTTTCTTTCAAGAAAGATAAAATTAAAACAAGAAAGAAAGATAAAAGCTTTGAATTATGAGTTTTATTTATTTACATTTATTCAATTATTAATATCCAGAGGTAATAGAAATTTGCTTTTCCTTATAGCCAAGTACTCGTTAATTTGAGATCTATAGATTTTTTGTTTGTTTGTTTTTTTTGTTTTTTGAGACAGGGTCTCACTATGTAGTTGAGACTGACCTAGAACTCACTATGCAGCCCAGGCTGGCCTCGAACTCACAGCGATCCTCCTGCCTCAGCCTCCAGAGTGCTGGGATTACAGGCGTGTGCCACCACACCCAGCTTGAGATCTATAGATTTTTAAGTTTTAAAGGAAAGAAGTTAAAAGAAAAGAAAAATCCTGGCTCATATAGTTTAGCAAATAGAATGACTTAACCTTGGATGAGGGTTTTGGTTTCTATGTCTATTGCTGATAGACTAAATTTACATACCTTTACATCTTCCCTGTAAAATGATGTTAATAATACTCAATAATTGCATTGCAGCAATATTTTAAAGATCTTCTCAAGAGCTTATAAAATTCAGTATAAAGGGACACGTTTTATAACACAGTGATGTTTGCATCTCATGAATATGGGCAGTATTAAAGTGAGTCATTCTGAACTCTGGTATCAATATTTTCAGGACTGAATTTAATTATCCCTTGAGAATTATTGTAGTAATTAGAATTTTTCTTTTAAGTTTACATTCTTATTTGTTTGACCTATGCTTTTAAGTTTACATTCTTACTCATTCAGAAAACTGATTCTAATGACATTTATCCATTCATTCTCCAAAACATTTGGATTAAAATATCCTAACAAAAAAATCTTTCCAGACTTGGGTACTTTTTTCTGTGCACTCAGATCAAAATTAACATAAATTAATAATGATTTAGCTCAATTCTATTATTTTTATTTCATGATTTATTATGTATAAAATATGACGTACATTATTTATGTTTTGTTTTTTGAGAAAGTTATTCTCTTAGTGGTCAATTATTTAAGTCCCTTTTATTCAATTTGTAAAAGTTTTGAAAGGCAGAGAGTTAATGTTTTACATCTGAATAGGAAAGAGTTATTGTGGGGGAAGACAAGAAAAGAATTCCCTGTTTTTTGTTTGTTTGTTTGTTTGTTTTTGGTACCTGGGATGAATTCGGAGACCTTGTGCTTGCAAAGCAGGGGGCAGTACCACTGAGCTAAATCCCTGGCCCAAGAAAAGAATTCCTAAGTTAAATCAGGTTCTTGATTATTTTATCTTCAAAATGTATGGATTTGTAAACTGGACTAACTTTTTTCCCTTCTAGTTTGTCATTCCTTCTGAAATAAAACCTGAATGTCATCAAGATCAGCCACGTGCTGTTTCCATTCAAAGTTCTGAAATGATCGCCACCAACACCAGGCACTGTCCACACTGTCGACATTCTGATCTAGAAGCTTTGTTTCAAGACTTCAAAGATTGTGATTTTTTTAGTAAAACATATACCGACTTCCCTAAATCTTGTGACAGCTTTAATCTTCTGCATCCAATCTTCCAGAGACATGCTCACGAACAAGATACCAAAATGCATGAAGTTTACAAAGGAAATATTACTCCCAAATTGAACAAACACACTCTCAAGTCTTCTGCTGCCACGGATGTTTGGGCTGTGTACTTTTCTCAATTTTGGATAGATTATGAAGGGATGAAAAGTGGAAAAGGACGACCAGTAAGTTTTGTGGACTCTTTCCCTCTATCTATCTGGATTTGTCAGCCAAGAAGATACGCAGAGTCACAAAAAGAGCTGCAGACTTGTAATCAGGTAGCCATAAACACATCCCAAAGTGAATCTAATGATCTGGCTGGCCGACTCAAGCGGAAAAAGCTGCTCAAGGAGTATTACAGCACAGAGTCTGAGCCCATGACAAATGGGAGCCAGAAACCTTCATCAGATACATCCCTAAGTAGTTCCTCTTCTTCACTGGATGCAGATATTCATGTTCTGGTTCATGTGCATAAACATGTTAGTATGCAGATCAATCACTACCAGTATCTGCTCCTACTTTTCCTACACGACTCACTGACTCTGCTTGCAGATAACTTAAGGAAAGATGTAGAAGCTGTGACTGGCAGCCCTGCTACTCAGACCTCCATTTGCATCGGACTTCTACTTAGAAGTGCAGAACTGGCCCTTCTGCTGCATCCAGTGGATCGAGCAAATCCTCTTAAGTCTCCTGTTTCTGACAGTGTGAGCCCAATGGTTCCTGAGGATTTGCCACCAGAAAATGGAGAGTTTTTGTCTTCAAAAAGAAAACAAGTTAGTAGTGGTATAAATCAAATTAGAAGTGTCGGTATCAATCACATGTCAGACAGTAGATCTATGAGTGTTGACCTTAGCCATGTCCCTTTAAAAGACCCTTTGCTTTTTAAATCAGCTAGCGATACAAATCTGCAAAAAGGTACTTTTCTGGACTGTTTGTCAGATAAGCATTTAGGGAAAATAAGTGAAGATGAAACTGGTGGACTTGTTTACAAAGGTGGCTCAGGAGAAATTGGGTCAGAAATAAATGACAGAAAAGATTCACCAGCTACTGGTTCAAATCATGTCTTAAGCTACCAAGAAGACTCAAGTAGGCTGTCATTCGATAATGATGGTAATCCAAACATACTTTCAAATAGTTTAACTAGTAAAGGAATTGAAACCACAGAGTCGATCTTTAAGCCTGAAGATTTGCTTCTAGATGCGGCTTCATCCCCTGATAACCCGGAAATCAGTAAAGAAGAGGCATCCGCAGTTAGAACCCTTAAATCACAGTCATCTTTAAGGTAACAACATATTATTGGGAGTTTGGGGTGTTTGTTTTTGCTGAGTGTATGTGCACACGAGTGTATTTTGTTTTGGGACAGAAACCTTCATGACAAAATGGTATAGCAGCATTGTGAGACTTAATGAAAAGTAGTTTTCAAAATATGAGGTCTCTTTGAGGTTATACATTTAAATACAATTTAAAAACTTGTAGGTGCTGTGTGCATATTTTAATTTTGTTAGATGTAGTTTAAGATAATTTTCTTGCTTCTTATACAGTAATCTTCTGGTAATTTTGTTTGTTAACAGCGGGAAGCCTAAGGAACGCTGCCCACCCAACCTGCCTCCACTCAATGTTTCTTATAAGAATGTGAAAAGAAGCTCCTCGCAGATCTCCTTGGATACCATTTCCCTTGACAGCATGATTTTGGAAGAACAGCTGTTGGAAAGTGATGGCAGTGACAGTCATGTATTTTTGGAAAAAGGTAAAGCAGTACAGTGTAAGAATTCTTATTATATACCAGAGTCTGCCAAAAAAGTACAGACACACTTCAGCCAACCACTGCAGTAGTACAGGCCTGGGAGCTGAGAGCCGCCACTGTGAACACCTTTGTAACCGGACAGGCTAAAGCTAACTGTGTCAATCCCATGGTACCCAGTAGAGTCAGTATTCAAGTATTTATGCAAGCTTTTCTTTTCCTGATATATACATTTTTTTGGTGGACTTTATATATCAACGAATCTTGTAAGAAAAGTAATATTGAATAATTTTAAGTTATATTAAATAATTGTTAATTACATCCAAAGAAAGACTTATTTATATATACACACCAAGAGTACCTAACTTTCTCATGGTAGTTCCACTTCTTTTTATTCTTTTTTTTCACTTTATGAGAAAATAAAACATTGTCATAAATAATAAGTGTTTATCATTATCTTCTAATTAATTACTCAGTATAAAACTAAACCAATAAGAGTCTTACAGAAAACCAAACTGGGATGGGAATTTAGCTCAGTGGTTTTGCCGCCTGCCTCACAAGTGCAAGGTCCTGAGTTTGATACCCATACCAAAAAAAAAAAGAAAGAGGAAAAACTATAATTGCAGTATTTTAAAAACAACAGAATATGTAATTTGGGGGAGTGTATTTCTCCTTTTTTAAAAAATAAATTCTATTCCTTCCTCCCTCAAGCCCCCCCATTATGTACAGAAGCTTTGCTTTCATTTTTTCCTATTTTCACTTTTTTTCTTGTTCCTTCTTTCCTTTCTCCCTTCCTCTTCATTTCCCTTCTCATTTGAACACTTTCTTCCTATCATTGCTCCTTTTAACCACATATTCCTGTCTCTATATAGCTTACACTTAGTGATTATTTATACATAGTCACTTAGATCGTAAAGCAGCTAACCTTGAGGCCACCCGCCTCGTAAAGAAGCACCCATGTCTGGGAGTTGGGTTAGACGGGACTCGTTTGCCTGGTGGATTCTCAATTATATGATCCTGTGACTGGAATTTTTCCAGACTGGAGCTGGTGATTTACAAAACCCAGATTATGGTTCTGTTTCTCTCTCTCTCTCTTTTTTTTTTTTTTTTTTTTGACCCTTTCTGTTTCATGAGAGGTGACCAGTGTCCCAATAAAGGCTGCTATGAATGATTTAGCATTAGACACATCCCCATTAGTAAGATACTGGGGACTCTGTAAGCAGGAATAATGCCACATAGAAACTAGGACACCAGGGAGAGGCAAATATGAGTTATCTTCTGTTTGAAGCCTAGAGTGATTGAAAGTTTAGATGAGACAATTAATACCATAATAATAAATATATAAGAAGCCAGGCATTGTGGTACATTGTGCTATAATCCCAGCACCTAGAAGGCTGAGACAGGAGGATTGCCACAAGTTTAAAGCCAGCCTGGGCTACATAGGGAGATCTTGTCTTTAGAAAGAAAGAAAAAGATATATGTGTGTATATATATAGAGAGAGTGAACAATAAGTATTATTAATATAATGGTTACAATAGTGGCATCCATTCATCATCAGGGCCATGTTATCCCTTTTGTGCTGTCATCTTGCAGAGCCACAGAGAGGGTCATTTATAAAACTTGGAGGTTTGTTTGTCACAGATTGCAAGGCTGGGAAGCCCTAGAGCAAGGCCCCCGGCAGGTTTGAAGCCTGGTGGAGGCTGCATCCTCTAGGGGGCAGGGAGCTCTTCCTCTTCACCATGGGGAAGGAAAGGGCAAGCAGGGTTCAGACCGCTCCTGGGGGAGGGTTGCGTTCACATTGTCACATTCAGATCATAGCAGGTGCTTAGTTTACCTCATTCGGTTTGAAACAGCCCTGCAATAATATAGTAGTCAACATTTATTTGACACATTTTCTGTTTTGGTACTGGTGTGTGTATGTAAATGCATTTATCCCTCACAACAATTCTACCAGTAATCTACTATTATTTTCAGAGAGGTCAAGGAAGTAACCCAAGGTAACACAGCTAGTCAGTGGCTCACTAGAACCTATAGACCAGCTTGCCTCAGCCCTGTGAGGCCTGTTTATTCCTGTTCTCATTTTATAGGTGTAGACTGTTGCCACAGTCACATTATTGTAGGTGGAACTCGGATTGTCACTCTTTGTTTTTTCTAGGCTGACAGTTATGAGGTACTTACTATACCAGTTACTGATTTAAGCACTGGATCTGTTTTATTTAATCTTCAGATGAATCTAAGGTAGGAACTATTATCATCTCCATTTTAAAGGAGAGAAAAACAAAGCCCAGGGTGGTTCAGCAGCTTGTCCCAGGTCAAGCAGTAAGAGGTGGAGCCAGCATTTGAACACAGGCTCAAAGGAACCTTCTTAACTACATTTACTCATATGAAAGCCAGAAAACCCTCCCTTCCAGGTCCCTTTTACTCTCACTTTGTAGGAACAAGTAGTCAGTCCGTCCCGCATGGGAGACAATATGTAAAAATAGCAAGCATTTATGGAACGCCTCAGTCACTCTGCCAGATGCTTTGAAATATATTGTTTATTTGATCCTCAAAACAACTCTAGTAAGGGATTATTGAGCCTTTTAAAAAAAATAGATTTAAAAAGTGAAGCTTAGGGAAAGAAAGTATCTTGTTCAAAGTGATGTACCCAGGAAGTAATAGAGGCAGATTTGATAGCTCCAATCAAAAGTCTATACTGTTAACCAGCATACCTGTTCCTTAACCTGAAGGATGATTGCCGTATGTAGGCAGAAGTCCTTGATCTAACGCACTGTATGTAACTCAGCGCTTTCTAGTGTCACACTTGAATGTACTGACACGGGTCATAAAACACAGTTCTATATTCTCGACTCACAGATAGCCCTAGGTATCTGTCCCTTGTCTCTGAGACAAGTTCTCTCAACAGCATTTCTATCCTAACACCCAAATATTCTTTAAAAACAGTAGGCAAATATACCTACTTATTCTCAAAAAAGCATAGTGATTTCCTTATTTCTAATAAACAATACAAAATCCAATTCATTGTGGAAAAGTTGGACAGAATGACCGTAATTTGGAAAATACAATCACATCAAACTCATACATTCTGGAGATAGCTCGTATTTAATCTGTGGGTTTGTACGTACCACATTTGCAGGTCATAGTTGTTTTCTCGTTACAGAGACAACACCCATCACCTACAACTCAAAGCAGGAAGGTTTATTTTGGCTCACAGTTTGTAGAGGTTCCGTTCAGTAGTCAGCAGGCTCCAAGGCAGGGCAGGCTGTGTGGCCGAGGGGAGAGAGCTCACTGCGTGGCGGACGGGAAGCGAAGAGGGTTGTGGGGTAGACCTGCCAGGCCGCACCCGGTGACCACCTCCTCCAGCCAGGCTTCCCCTCTCCGCATCTCATTCAGCTCCGACCCTTGGACTGTTCTGGTGGTGAGCAGCACACACCCACCGTCCAGTCCCCTCCCCAACGCCCCACCTATGAGGGCATGAGGCTTTGAGGGGCATCTGGATGTAAAGGGCTGCATGGGCCAGAGGTGTGGTTCTAGGGTAGAGCCCTTGGCTTGCAGGGCCATGCTTGTACAATAGAAACCACAGCACATGTGTGTGTGTGTGTGTGTGTGTGTTGTAATTGCATAAATGACTTCATAACCTGCTTTTTATAACGTGTGAGCGTTTTCTAATATTAAACTATTTTAAAAATATTTAATAATCTATATAAAATTGTTGTAAAAATGTTCCATGACCTTTTAGGCATTCCCCTAATGTTGAATGTTTATGCTGTTTATAGTATTTCAGTTATAAAAATGCTGCCATTAACATCTGCACTCATAAATTTTTGCCTGTATTTCTGATTACTATTTTAGAATAGATTCCAGCAGTGTACTTTTTTAAGATCTTGAAAAATGTTGATAATTGATACAGATTCCTGATTCTCCTGGAACTTTTTTTTTGTTTTTTTTAATGGCATTTTGTAAGCCTTTGGCCTTTCTAATCTAATTTTTCTAATAACTTAATGGGTTTTTAAAAGTATTAGTCTGTGACAGACACAAAATTTAAAACATTTTTTTAAATTAGAGAGTTTGAGAAACACTGACATACAGTACACTGAGGATTCGGGCGGCTAGGGAGGGATGGAAGTGAGGACAGCAGTGATGGTGGTATTAAGTTCCTATAAAATGCAATTAGGCGTTGCTGTGAGGTACTGAGGAGAGGAATGACGTGGTCAGGCTGCAGCTGCTCTGCCTCGGAGTGGGGAGGAGCCGGCGGGTTGGACCGGTCCTGCCCCTGCCGGGAGAGAGAAGGCAGGCCCTGTCCTGCAGCAGAAGATAGTTTCAGACTCTAGGTTTAGGGCTGAGTATCTAACAGTTTAGTCTTGGAAATTATTGCTTATTGTTTGCTAACCCAACATAATCTAAATTTCTTTTCTCGTTTTTTTGAACAAGACATGTTTGAGAAAGAGTTGAAGGGATCATCCATTTTGGTTAAACAAACTTCACTGTGTGGATCATGTGTAAAAACGATTTTATTAGTTTCCTGTGTGTCGTTTCAGAAATTAAAAAGAACTCTACCAATTACCAGAGCCCAGCAGAGAGTGTGAGCACCAGTGCAAATCTGCAGAAATATGGCGAATCTTCTCCAGATGCCATGAGTACAAATTCAGAGGGTGCTCAAGAAAACCATGACGACCTGGTAATCCCTTCAGAGGAATTGTATGAAAGAAATGCCACAACTTCCTTTTATATTTGATGTGTGCACAGCTTAAGATACTAATGTACAAAGTGAATTCTTAGATGGTTTACTCTGCTCTTTCTACTCTTGAGAATGCTTTCTTCTTGTGTATCAATTGGCTTTTTTTCTATTTACTTTTCTAAATTCGTTTTTAATCATTTTGAGGAGGGGAGGACTTATTTTTCTTTTCTTCTGTCTTGTCTTTTTTTAACCTATGTTTTAGTTTCTTTTAAATATACTTTTTAGAAAATGTTTGATGCAAGGAAGAAAGTCCTTATAATATGGGGCTTTCTACAAGGAAAATTTATTACCATTTTTTTTAAACCTTTCTGACCTAGTGGAATATTTATAAGAAAGACTTTAAAAATGTATTATGCCCTACTTTTAGTGACAGTCATTTTACATGGAAAAGTCATATAATTGATCTTTGCCAACTAAAATAGTTTCCCTTGACTGAATGAAAAGTCTAAGTTTGTCATTACAGATGAGTCCCTTCTTTCTTTTTTTCTTTTCTTTCTTTTTTTTGTTTTTTTTTTAGACAGGGTCTCATTATGTAGTTGAGACTGACGTGGAACTCGCTGTGTAGCCCAGGTCTCGAACACACAGTGATCCTCCTGTCTCAGCCTCCCGAGTGCTGGGATTACAGGCGTGCACCACCATGTCCAGCTTGTCATTACAGATTTAATGTTCCTTGTGTAAAATTTTTAGGATCAGAAGCATTTGGATTTTAAAATTTTGGAATATTTGCATATACGTTGTGGACCAGGATGAAACATGAAATTTATTTATGCTTCATATACATTATATACATATGGCCTGGTAATTTTCTGTAAAACTTTTAATAATTTTGTGCACAAGCTTAACGTGGTGTTGCACACCAGTAACCCCAGCACTTGGGAGGCTGAGGCAAGATGATAGCCACGAGTCTGAGGCCAGCCTGGACCACAAAGTGAGACTCTGTCTCAAAAGACAACATGAGGCCAGGGATTTAGCTCAGTGGTTCCACTGCCTGCCCTGCAAGCACAAGGTCCTGAGTTCGATCCCTGATACCAAAAAACAAAATGAGAGCTGAGGAATTGGCTCAGTGGTTCTGCCACCTGCCTTGCAGGTGCAGGGGCCAAGTTCGATCCCCGTCCCCAGTCCAAAACAAAAATGAGACAAAACAAAACAAAACAAAATAATTTATGTTTGAGCCAGAGTTTCACAGTGCAGAATTTTCCACATGTGGCATCATGTTGTCACTCAAAAAAGTGTCAGGTTTTTCGGAGCTGGGGATTGAGCTCAGTGGTGCCACCACCTACCTCAGAAACACTAGGTCCCAAGTTCAATTCCTGGTACCAAAAAAAAAAAAACCAAAAAGTTTCAGGTTTTTTATTTTAAAATTAGGTTCTATTCGGGCTAGGGATTTAGCTCAGTGGTGCCACCGCCTGCCTTGCAAGCGCAAGGACCTGAGTTCGATCCCCGGTACAAAAAAAAAACAAAAAACAAGTGACATCATTTAAGCCAGGGATTTAGCTCAGAGGTTCTGGTGACTGCCTCGCAAGTGCAAGGACCTGAGTTTGATCCCTGGTACCAAAAAAAAAAAAAAAAACAAAAAAAGGTTATATTCAACCTGTACAATGTGACTACTTGTTGTGTAGGTCATATGTATATTTCTAGTTTGATGAAACACAGTTGTACTTTTAGAAATGAATGGTCATTTATTATTTCTTAAATGTAATTACTTGGTACACTAATCTTATTTATATGATCAATAATAGATGTCAGTCGTGGTGTTTAAAATTACTGGTGTTAATGGAGAAATCGATATTCAAGGAGAAGATACAGAAATCTGTCTTCAGGTGAACCAGGTGGTGCCAGACCAATTAGGCAATATCAGTCTTCGGCATTATCTTTGTAATCGTCCAATTGGTAAGTTATTTTTTAAACTACTTTCCACACAAAATACTTTAATATGATTTAAACTTGTTTTTTTATATATATATATGACTAATCAATAGTCTTGTCTTTGATATAAATTGGTTAAAAGAAAACTACAACTAAGAAAAACATTCAGCTATCATATTTTTATTGGGAAATACACAAAATTCCATATCTGATCCATAATATGTTGAAATAAATACAGTCTTGCTCGATAACAGAATTATGCTATCACCTCGGTTCTGGGAATTGCACATAAAAATCCTGTGAGTCTATAAGCCAACATCGTAGGAAAACAATTGGGTATTGGCTTTTTTCTGTGTTAGGCCTTGCAATTTACAGTATATCTGCTTAAAAAAAAAAGAAATTCAGGAATTTTTATATTAAGTGTAAATTCTAAAACCATGCAAAATGGAGGAAGCTAAGTTTTTATCTAGGAAAGTTTCATAGTGGAAAAAAACCCCAAAATTAATTTGAAACAAAATTTCCGAACCTAGACCTTGTTCTACATCCATTCTTAACACTTTTCAGATTGTACACTCAATATTATTTCCAGTTGCATAATATTCTTTTAAAATCATTTATAGCTCACTTAATATCATGTCCTATTAGTTTGTTTCATTTTATATCTAACCAAACAAATTATTTTGGGATGCCTGTTATGTGGGGTTGTATAGTCAGTGCTAATACCTTACTTTTTCTCAACTGTTGCAGTTGGGGTTTTTTGTTTGTTTGCTTTTTCTGAGACAGGGTCTCACTATATAGCTGAGACTGACCCAGAACTCACTATGTAGCCCGGGCTGGTCTCGAACTCACAGTGATCCTCCTGCCTCAGCCTCTGGAGTGCTGGGATTACAGGCGTGTGCCGCCATGTCTGGTTTAGAATGTACATTTATATACACCACCACATTTATATACACCACCACATTTATATACACCAGCACATCCTGCTCAGTTGGGTTTCCCTTGAAGAATAAAGAAGAGGAAAAGGAGGGAGGCAGGGGGAAGGGAATAAAAAGAAAGGAAAAACAATTAGTTTTTTAGCTTGGACATGTCAGACAGTAAGCATATTAAACATGGTGGTTAAGCAGCAGTTTGCATACAGTGTTACCACTCTGACAGTATTGCAAATTTGGTTTTTTTCTGTTATCTGTGGGTCATGGATTCCTCAAACCGGATGATATATTAGTCGCCTTTTCCTCGCTGGAACCAAACAGCTGGACCAGGCCCCACCTCTAGTGCAGTCGCATTCGAGCTCAGGACTGTGGCGCCCGTGGTTCTGCTCACTGACACCCCCATCTTCCGGAGCTGAGATACGCGGCACAGTAGTTCCATGGTGTCAGGAATACTAGGGAGAAGGGATTATTTTTAACCTATAAGGTTTTTGTTTTATCTCTGCTTCAGGATATGTTTTGGGGGGAATAGTACTGGGGATTGAACCCAGAGCCTTCACACTGAGCTACATCCATTGTCAGCCCTTTAAAATTTTTTTTATTTTGAGAAAGGGTCTTGCAAAGTTGTCTGGTCTGGCTTAGATTTGTAGTTGTCCTACCTCAGCCTCCCAAATACTAGGATTACAGGTGTGGGCCCCCTTTCTTACCTGCTGATTTCTTTTATTACTGCATCAACAAGATAATGCTTATTTTTCTTGATACAGTGAAGAACTACCATTACCAGCTGTTTCGTTTACCTTTTTAAATAAAATATCTGAGGTTTTAAATATTTAAGAATTCAGAATTATATTTGATATATTTTCTGTATTAATTATAAATGTTAATTAAAAGTACTAACATTAATTAAATGTATTTTTTGTATCTGAAGTAAAAATGTTAACAATAACTCTCCACTTTAGACCTCTCCTAGATACATAAATATACATATTTTTACTTTTTGGCAACCCCTGCCTTGCAAATAAGTATGCATTTGTCCTCAGTGAGATTGTTCACATCATGCTGAGGGAAAGTAAAAACTCTTTCCATCCTGAATTTAATTAGTGGGGTCTTCTTGGAAGGACTTGTAGGATAATTAACTTTCATATCTGAGAAACAGAAATGACTTTCCTTTCCAAAACCACTGGTTTGCTTTTTCCTCATGAGTTCTATGAATTATGAACCTCGTCATCCTTTTCTCTTTGTTGCTAGGAAGCTTGTTTTTGTTCTACCTTTAACACAGAAGTTTAATGTATTGTGGGTCATTAACTTTACCATCTATTCTCACCTTTGTTTTCTGTGTTTACTATTTTTATTTGATTATACCCTGTACATATTGTTTCCTATTTATTTGGAGCTAGGCAGCATAAAATAAGTAAGCAAAATAGTAACTGTGTCAATTCACAAGTAATTTCCTTTAGTAGTTCCACTGGTAACTTTTTAAAAGTTAGTCTGTGAGAACTTTGTTGAAATTTAACATTTTCTTTTTAAGCTTGAGTATTTATAGCTCTGTAAGCCATCTCAGATTCTTTTTAGGAACAAGGCCAAGACATAGATAAATGTGAGCTATATATACATATCTTATTTTATATATAATCACATATATATCTTTGCAGTAATTTCAGTCTTACATTTTCTTCTAATAGAAACATTTTACTGAGCTCTTCTCTGTTTACTTTTCCATTATTTAAGGGCCCATTTACTCAGGAAGGTACAAATCCTGCCTTTGGTTGCTCCTTGAGAAGTAAATGGCCAGGCACTGAAACACCATGACAGTGTATGACAGTCGCCCATTCTGTTACAGTTGCCTAGATAGATACTCACTCCAACACAGTCTTAAGTATCTACCGTGTGTATCATATTAGTTGTATCATGACATGCTCTTCACTATTATGAAAAATAGAAAAGTCAACACTAGTCATAAATAATACTTTCTGAGTAGCACTACAGAGTTATGATTTTTATGTTCATTTTCCCTAGGTTCTGATCGGAAATCTGTAATTCATTCCAAATCCTCTCCCGAGATTTCACTGAGGTTTGAAAGTGGGCCCAGTGCTGTTATACACTCTTTGCTTGCAGAAAAGAATGGATTTCTACAGTGCCATATAGAAAACTTTAGCACTGAGTTTCTTACGTCTTCTCTTATGAATATTCAACATTTTCTGGAAGATGAAACTGTTGCAACAGTAATCCCAATGAAGATACAAGTTTCTAACACAAAAATAAATTTGAAAGTATGTTAAATGATAATTTTTTATTTTCATATTATTAATGTTCACCCTGCCTACCTCAGTTTTGACTCATGTCTAAGACTGCCTTCTCCATAACACATCCTGTACCAACATTCGTTAAAACAGATCTAGCAGTCTTTATGATGGGTGATAGAGACCCTTCCTACAAGTTAGGAAATGTCAGAGTAGATCAGGGAGTCTTGCTGTAGCACCTAAAAAACGTATAGATATACAGTATCTCTAACTCATTAAAAATAACTGGCTGAGGTGATGTTGATTTTGAAGGATTATTTTAATTCATCATTTACATTAATAAGAACATTGCAATACTGTGTCTCTTCTGTAGGATGACAGTCCCCGGAGCGGTACAGTGTCTCTTGAAACAACTCCTGTAACTGTGCATATTGATCGTCTCGTGGTAGAGAGAAATGACGATGGCTCGTTTCATATCAGAGGTATATGAAAAATAATTTAAGCAAATGTCTTCAACTTTGAAGTTAAATTATCTATGTGCTGACTGTTTCCTTTTACTCGTTATTTACTTTGTATTTTTGTATATATGCAGTAATAGATGATGAGGGACACTTTCAGTTTATGGCAATAAAATATGTATGAGTCGGACACAGAGGTGCACACTTAGCTACTCAGGAACATCCACGTCAGCAATTCCACTCTTAAGTACATACCCAAGAAAAACTTGTACAAGAAATAGCTCTGACATAGAAACAACCCAAATGTCGTCATGCAGTGAATATAAGCAAAACATGAGAGATTCATCTAAAAAAATGATAGAGTGGTACATTTTACAACACAGATAACTTTGAAAACATTATGCTAACTGAAAAACAGTCACACAAGGACAAGAGAGTTATGAATCCGTTTATGTGAAATGTCCAGGAGAGGCATATTTATAGAAACAGAACGTAGAGTAGTGCTATCCTAGCTCCAAGGGGGATGAGACTGGGTGGGCATGGAAAGACACTGCAAGTGGGTGTGAGGGTGCTGGGGTGATGCAGACGTTAAGTGGTTACGGTGACAGTTGCACCATTCTGTGGGTATAATGAAAACCATTGGATTTTACACTGAGAATGCGTGAGGTATATTTGGGGATATTTTTAAAGTCTACTTTTAGAGCCATGAGAGATCTGGGAAACCAGACCCACACCCCATACCACAGCAGGCGATGGAGAAAGCTGCTGTTTGCCCTGGACAGTAGGTTTTACTGTTCACACTACTGCTGCTACTGCTTTGCAAATTCAGCTTTAGTATAACTATTGCAGCCTACGCTGTTTCTACTTTCGTACCAGGAACTTGACCTTTCACCTTGCTGTCATGCTACTGACTCCAGAATGAGAAGGAATTTACCACTTTTCCCTCCCTTTTCTCGTCATTGGTATCTGAGGAAAATGTAGGGTGAATGCAGTCTAACAGCCATCAGCTAGGTTAGGTCCATGGAAAGTAATCTGGGAAATTGAATAACTAGTTCTCCCCAACATTTACTGAAGGAAGCAATTTTTACTCTCTACAAAATGTAAAAAGTATGAAATTTGTCAAACACAGAAAACTATGCAAATGATGGATAGCCCAAACAAATGGCACAGACAGCCTACAAAAACCATTATGATTAGGAACAATAAATTTGCAGCAGACATCCTACCAGTGACAACAGATGCTAAAAGATAGTTAATGTCTTCAGAGCTCTGTGTGAAAATAAACTGAACCTAGCCTTGCATTCATTAATTCATTCATTTGCTTATTTATCAGCTTTATTATTATTATTAGGGTACCTCTATGTAGTTCAGTCAGGCTGGCCTTGAACTCACTATGTAGACCAGGGTGGCTTCTAACTTGTGGCAATCCTTCTGCCACAGAATCCTGAGTGCTAGGACTATAGACTGGTACTACCATGCCCAGATCTAAGCTTTTATTTTAAGGTACAATAAAGGTAAATTTTTTAAAATGCAGAGAATGACTTAGTCAAAATGAAAAATCAGTAAGGAACAGCAATAAGTAAAACCAGTAAAACTTGTATTGAAGTCTAAATAATGTATAAGAATACAATTTTCTTAAAATATGCAACTAAAATTCCAGATGTCAGCAGGAGAGGTTGCAGTAAAAAGAGGGGGAAGGATAGGGAGTAAAATTATGCTAAAGTTTCTGTCTTTTTGGGAGCTGGAGAAGGTAACACTAGACTTTGCTTATAACAATGTAAGCTTAAATAGTATGTGATAACATCACATACACTGCAGCCTTAGATGACCCAAAATAATAACTTTGAATCACCCGGAGATGGGAAAAACTGGATCAAAAATATCCAATCAATTCAATAAAAGATAAATGAAAAGAAAGGCATAAGAAGAAAGCAGGGTAAATACAAAACATTAAATTAGATGTTAGAAATAGTCATTAGAATATATATGTATGGTTTAAATTCTCTTGTTAAAAGACAGTGGCACTAAGGCGGAGTTTTAAAAAAAAGATTCCAGATGTATGTGCTGCATAGAAGATAGTTTTTCAGAACAAAATGATACAGAAACAATGAAAATTGGGTGGTGTTAAAAAAAATTTAAAAATGTATATATATACCCACATTCACACATATATGTACACATATACAGACAAACAAGACAAATACTAATAGAAAGGAAATAAGTGTTAGGTGAAATTGAATTTAAAGCTGAAAGTATAAAATGGACAGGCAGATTTCATATTATAAGAAACATCCAGTTAGCTGCTCTTTCATAAGATTTTACAGTCTAATAGCATAACTGTGCAAATATAAAGAAACTTGTTTGAAATAAAAATGAATGGACTCATCATACTGACATCATGTTTAGAGACTTTTACCTTCCCCTCAGACTACGTATTCATAAAACAAAGTTATTGTGGAGAATTTTAATAGCATGCTTAACCATTTTCTAAAGAGAGATCTCCTTACCTTTAGATTTAAAAACAGGAAATTTTAAATACACATGAAACTTACTGAGTCTCAAAGAAAATTTCAACAGGTTCCAAATCATAGAGTTTATTCACGTCACTTCTCTACTTTCAGTGTAATAAAGTTTGTCATTGACACAGTGCTGCAGAAGAAAACTTCTGTTTATACTGAAGTAATCCTGAGAATTGTTGGCAAAGAATTAAGATTTGATTATTCTTAATACACTTCCCTGTTCTAAAATGCTATCATTCTAAATAAGTCTTGATATTTCTTACATCACAGTCTTAGTGTCTGACTTGCTAAATAATTACTATTTGCTAAAACAACTATTTAAGTCATATGTTTATAATACCCATTTTTTGTCCACGTTTTGAGAAAAACAGAATTAAGCATCATTTTGGTGAGTAAAAACTAAAGTGAAAATCAAGTTTCTTCCCTAGTTTTTTTCTCCACATTTAAAAAAATCTATGGTAGATAGTGTAGTCAAACACTATTTCATCAGTAATTGACTCTACTTGATATATCGAGCAGACGAAAGCCAACTAGTGATACAGCAGTTACGTATTTATATGACGAGAAGTTCAATTTGGATTTGCCTTTGACATTTAATTTAGCTCATAAATAGTGAGTGTCCCTTTTAAAACCCAGTGACAATATGGTGCATGTCTGAAATCTCTGCTGTGTGGGATGCTGAGGCGATACATTCCTAAGTTCAAGTCTTGCCTGGGCCATTTAGTGAGACCCTATCTCAGAATAAAGGGTGGGGAAAAAGCGCGTTGGTAGGACACCCCTGAGTTTGATCCCCAGCTCAGCAAAAAGTTACAAACTCAGTGGTACAATGGGCATTTGTTATATTCTTCAGGTTATTGGTGCTGCACAGTATCCAAGATAATTTATTTTAAAGTAGTTTTCCATTGAGACTGGAAAGAATGACCAACTTTACACATAATGATGTCAACTTTATGTGGGGATTGCATATTTTAATCTATGTGTTCCTTAAAAGCAGTGTTGTGAAGCAGATTGTGATATGTTATTTTTCATATGGTGTGGCATCAGGGTCTGGTCTGTGGAACGAAACACATAGCCTAGTATACTGCACATATATAGCTGATAAGTTAGTGTATTGTAAATATGGCTCAAGCTAATATGTCAAGTTGTATAAATAACAGCAATTTTATTTGCTTCTAGAATTTAGAAGGACATGTTGGGAATGAATTGAATGGTCTCAAACAGTTGCAAAATTTCAAGCTATGCCCTTTTCCCCCTTGAAGTAAATTTTATTTAGGAAGCAAGAGCACTCAAAATAATCTCATTAATACCTATTTCAAAAATTAGCTTTAGGCGTTTGTTGGTGGTGATAATGGCAGCTTACCTAATATCTTTTCACTCCTTCCCCTTTTCACTTAATGTATTCTAAGCTATACTTGCAGCTGCTTTAGATGTGATTAAATAAAACCGATCATTTAAAAATAGGTCCATATATTCTTTTTTTCTCCTCTGCTTATCACAGTTCTTCACACTTCCTTGGGAAAGTCTTAAAAAGAGTTCCTAGTTTTTCTGTAAAGACTTTAAGGAGAAACTTCAAATAACTTTTTAGAAAATAACAAAGATATGGGCTGGGGATTTGGCTCAGTGGTTCCGCTGCCTGCCTCATAAGCTCAAGGGCAGAGTTCAATCCCTAGTACCAAAAAATAAATAAATAAATAAATAATAAAAAATAAAAAATGGAAGAAAAGAAAATAACAAAGATATGCTCCAATTTCTCTCTTGCTTCAGTGAAGTACAACTAATTAGGTACATTGATAACTTAGGAGAAAAAGAAATACATGCATATGTGTAAATACAGAGCCGTCTACTAATTCCCTTTAACAGCTGTAGCCTGCTCTGAGCAGTCTTAACACTCAGCTTACTGAGGCTCTGGCTACCGCCCTCAGGAACTCTGGCCCTTCTAGCTTTGATCTTTAATCAGAAGCATTTGGAGGGAAAGGGGCATTGCATATTTATATCAATATATATTTGTGTACATTACATTTGTAAAGATCTACATTGATAACTTAGGAGAAAAAGAAATACATGCATATGTGTAAATACAGAGCCGTCTACTAATTCCCTTTAACAGCTGTAGCCTGCTCTGAGCAGTCTTAACACTCAGCTTACTGAGGCTCTGGCTACTGCCCTCAGGAACTCTGGCTCTTCTAGCTTTGATCTTTAATCAGAAGCATTTGGAGGGAAAGGGGCATTGCGTATTTATATCAATATATATTTGTGTACATTACATTTTTAAAGATCTGTGATAAATAGCTGTTTCCCTTAGCAACACGTTCTTAGAATCATTTTTTTTCTTCCTAACTTGAAATATGATGTTTTAATCATGAATCCAAAAATATGGTATAAAACTTATTAACTCAGAAGAATATCTATGTGTCCTGGCTTCTTTTTGAATAAGCAGAGCTCTCTTAGAGTCTATTGTGAACATCTACCATGGTACTAATAAAAACGTCGACATTAGGGCTGGGG